CCTTCTGGTAAATTCTTTTCTCTTCGCACGGACGTTATAAAAAAAAAAAATCGTGGAATAATAATAATTTTCTTGATTAATGTTTTTGCATGCAAATAACGATGGCCAGCTTTAAGAAAGAAAATTTATTGCCAAGTTTTCTTGCAATGTCGCAAAACAATTCCGTTCTTTGCCAAAGAGAATCAACAACAGATCGAACAAAAGAAGCTAACATTCCAATCCTACACCAAGATCTACTAGCTTCAACAACCAAAGCGGAAAGAGAAGAATGGAACAGAATTTGGACTACGACTAAATAGAACTAAAATACACGACATAGCACACCAAAAGTTTCTACCAAAAAATACCAAGCAATAATATAAGCAGAAAAGAAAGGATAGCTATGACTAGACTTTAAAATCGGACGCTCCAAGATCACGCACGAATACCTGCTAAGCAAAACAGAACTACCTTTCTGCAACATCCAACACCTGCTGTATGAATGCAGAAAATACCGAAACATGGGAAGTAAATACGGATTAAACCAAAATACCGCTCCAAACTGCCAGAAACAACAAAAAAACGTTATCAACTACGTAAGTAATAATTTAAAGAAATTATTATAAAATAGAGAAATTTAAAAAGATAATGATTAAATTAAATGTTATATATATATATATATATATATATATATATATATATATATAAATAATAATTTAAAGAAATTATTATAAAATAAAAGAATTTAAAAAGATAATAATTACATTAAATAATATACAAAATATATATCCATATACATATATTTTTAAATAACAATTTAAAAAATTTATTATAAAATAAAAGAATTTAAAAAGACAATAATTAAATTAAATTATATACAAAATATATATCCATATACATATATCTTTAAATAATAATTTAAAAAGAATAATAATTTAAAGAAATTATTATAATTTAAATTATTAAATTATATATTATATTAATTATAAAATTAAAGAATTTAAAAAGGATAATAATTATATTAAATTATATATTATATTAATTATAAAATAAAAGAATTTAAAAAGGATAATAATTATATTAAATAATATATAAAATATATATCTATATACATATATTTTTAAATAACAATTTAAAAAATTTATTATAAAATAAAAAAATTTAAAAAGATAATGATTAAATTAAATAATATACAAAATATATATCCATATACATATATTTTTAAATAATAATTTAAAGAAATTATTATAAAATAAAAGAATTTAAAAAGGATGATAATTATATTGAATAATATATAAAATATATATCTATATACATATATTTTTAAATAGCAATTTAAAAAATTTATTATAAAATAAAAAAATTTAAAAAGATAATGATTAAATTAAATAATATATAAAATATATATCCATATATATATATATATATTTATATATATACATATATATATTTTTTTTTATTGTATCATGTGGCTTGTAAAAAAAACAAAGAAGAATGATCTTTAAAATGACACCGATGCCAAGAAATTTAAATTCTAATTTAAATCCCTATCTTTACTAGACCGATATGTGACCTACTAAAATACACGTGTATTCTCTTCCGTCTATCGATACACGAGTAGACGACACAGTCCTATCTTTTTGTCACCCGACTATAGTTCGCGCCTCGAGCGTGAATCCAATTTCTCTGAATCGTCGCGCCGAGCCGGCAACGCTAATTACCGGCAAATGAATTAATTAGCGGAGCAAGGTCGATTCGTTGCCTCGTCCCCAGCATAAGCCAAACTCGGCTCGGTTGAGACGCTCGGTCGAAACGCCAGCGCGGAGCGGAGTGGGGGGAGAACGCGCGGCGAGTCGGCTCGAACGTGCCAAGAGTGGGGGGGAAACGCAGTGGCGGCGGGTGCCGTTAATTCGCGACAATGCGTTGTTCCCGTTCGAAACAAAGGATATTCGATTCCGGCCGCCGGATGAAAATTAATTGGCTGCCGCGTTGTCACGCGGATAAACCAGCCACGGGGTCCAGCTAACGCCGGTTTCCACGAAAACCAGCAAGCACTTTTTTCCCCCCATTTGTCCCTTTCCCATTGTCTTCGAAATCCGCCGAGAAGAGTTTTCCCCCCCATTGATCGGGCTCGGATCGAGAGCAACTATTATTTCGTTGAATCGCGCGTCACTGTCCCTCCTCCTCTCTCTCTCTCTCTCTCTCTCTATACTTTTTTTCTCTCCACTCGTTTTCTCTGTATTCTCGATGCGCGTTTAATTGGAATCCGTCCTCGACGAACGCGTCGCGTCGGATTCGTAAACATTGTGGACAAACAACGGGGGACCGACTTTACAAACGGCGAATTTTTTCAAATCCAAATCCGAGCCGGAGGGGGGGAGCTTTTTTTCGACCGCGTGGTCCGCCTGGTGTGTCGGACAAAAGGAGCTGGCGAGAATGGCGATCGGTCGGCGTTTAACGGGTTTGGAGAAAGAATCGCGAAGACCAGAAAGTGGGGAAGAGGGAGCAGCTCGAGGGAGAAAAGGGGATTCTTCTTCTTCTTCTTCTTCTTCTTTTTCTTCTTGTGCCTGCTCCGGAATGGACTCTCGACGGTTTCCATCCACGTCGGGAGAAAAGCTCCTTGCTCGCTCTTTTTTTTTTTCCCCCTCGCCGACACTCCGAGGGTATTCTCGAAGAGATCCTTTGTCCCAGTCGATTCGTCGACGTATTTACGATCCTCCTCTCTCTCTCTCTCTTTCTCTCTCTCTCTCTCTCTCTCGCCCCAGACGCTTTCGTTTCGCATTTTTCTGCCAGTTGCTACGATTTTCCCTACGTTCGGCGAAAACTGTACACCCGGCATGTTGTCCTTTCGTCCGAATGCCAGAACGGGGGGAGGAGAAACACGAATAAACACTGAAACAATCTCGTTTATTAATCGCGTGAATGTCTAGTTTGGGGCTCGAACGTTTCTCGATTGGCCAAAGCATCGAAAACAACAGGATTCTCTCTCGTTATTTCGGTCCTCGCCCTCTCCTCCAGCCCCGATCGATTAATTATTCGATTCGCTCGAGCAAAAATCGTTCCAGTTTGTATTCGTAACAAATTTATTCGTGTTCATTTTCGCCCGGTGTGTCTCGCGTGTTTGTATTTCATTCGTCAACGTTCCCCTCTTTTTCTTCTTTTCTTTTCTTTTTTTTTATTTTTTCTCGAACGCTTTGAATCAAATAAAATTAGATTCGACGCACCGTAGAGGAGTGTCAAAGCGTGAAAAGTGGGCTGTAAAGTCACTAATGATTCTGACCGTCGCGTTATACAGGGTGTCCCGATAACAAGTGGAAAGAGGGTGGTACTGTATGAAGAAAAAGTCGAAAACAAAGAACGGAATTTTTTTTTATATGGGGGTTTAGAGTACGCATCGACTACGAGGTCTTTAGCGACGTATTGGAATTATTTCTTTATAACTGGTCTAGTAGTTGGGTCTTCTCGTGTATCGATAGACAGAAGAGAATACACGTGTATTTTAGTAGGTCACATACTGGCCAAGATCTCCATAGAGATTTAAATTATAATTTAAATTTTTTGGCATCATTTTAAAGTACATTTTTTTTTCTTTTTTTACAGGCCACACGATACAATAAAAAAAAATATATATATGTATATATATATGGATATATATTTTATATATTATTTAATTTAATCATTATCTTTTTAAATTTTATTTCATAATTTTTTAAAATTATTATTTAAAAATATATACATGGATATATATTTTATATATTATTTAATTTAATCACATTATCTTTTTAAATTTTATTTCATAATTTTTTAAAATTATTATTTAAAAATATATATACATGGATATATATTTTATATGTTATTCAATTTAATCATTATCTTTTTAAATCCTTTTATTTTATAATAATTTTTTTAAATCATTATTTAAAAAAATATATTTATGGATATATATTTTGTATATTATTTAATTTAATTATTATCTTTTTTAAATTCTTTTACTTTATAATAATTTCTTTAAATTATTATTTAAAAATAATATATATGGATATATTTTATATATTATTTAATTTAATCATTATCTTTTTAAATTTTATTTCATAATTTTTTAAAATTATTATTTAAAAATATATATACATGGATATATATTTTATATATTATTTAATTTAATCATTATCTTTTTAAATTTTATTTCATAATTTTTAAAAATTATTATTTAAAAATATATATACATGGATATATATTTTATATGTTATTCAATTTAATCATTATCTTTTTAAATTCTTTTATTTTATAATAATTTTTTTAAATCATTATTTAAAAAAATACATTTATGGATATATATTTTGTATATTATTTAATTTAATTATTATCTTTTTAAATTCTTTTATTTTATAATAATTTCTTTAAATTATTATTTAAAAATAATATATACAGATATATATTTTATATATTATTTAATTTAATCATTATCTTTTTAAATTCTTTTATTTTATAATAATTTCTTTAAATTATTATTTAAAAAATATATATATGGATATATTTTTTATTTATATCATTATACATATATAAAAATTCCGAAATAAATGGAAACTTGGAGAAAAATATATTCTTTCCAGTTATACATTGGCCATATCATGTCAGATGAAAAATACTTTTTGCAGTATCACAATTCGAGAAGATATTTAGATGGCCTCACTCAAATGGGTCACCCTGTATATATATATATATATACATGAACAGTGTATGACACAAAATTCGAACCATTTTCTACTTCTCAAACAATAAAAGTATACGTGTTATAAAAATATATTGGCTCTTCAAGGTGACAGCTGCAGTAAGATACAAAAATCAAGATCGTGCATGCAAAACTGAACACTGAATAAATACACTCTAAGTTAACGTTGCAATTTCAACAAGTATGTGATGCTTACCTCGGAAAGGAATCCGGAAGAAAATCGCAAGTACAACACTTGGAACGGGTTCGATCCGATTCTCGGCGAGTGGTCGAGGAAATAGAGCACACCTTGGTCGTTTATTCCAGTTTTATTATAAAATATAATAATACAATAACATTTATCGCCATATCGAATATTCACGTACTTGTACGTATAATATGTATAGTATGTACAACGAGTAAATTGCTACGCGATTCGTCGCATTTATCGCCGAGTAATCGTTCCGGCGGTTTGCCTTCTCGGAGGTAAATGTATCGTTTAGGGGACGCCTAATCGTACGGTTGGCCGCACTGACTGGCAACTTTCGTGTGTTGCACGATGGGAAAGAAATGTTTAACCTTTGGCGATCGTAGAAACATAGGAATTCCACGTCGTGCTCGATTTAAGGAACCTTCGCGAAATTGCCCTTGACCTTGAATTCCAACGTCAAAAAATATATATATATATTTTTTTTTATTTACATCGCTATTCGCACTCCACTCGTTAGGTAGATCAGAAGGTCAAAACTCGTCCGGAGGAAAAATGGCAAGAACGTTTGACGAATACAACCGATTAGCTAACGTCAGCTGAAACTGCGGACCGTAAAGAGAGACTCTCCACAAGTCGCCTCTGGTAACTGCACTCGCTGTCAACGAATCTCAATTTAATTTTCGCCAATCTTAAATGAACTTTCTCGCCCATTTTTCAAAAGATTAGGCTACACAATCGATGGCCGAGTCCTTCCTCGATCGAGTAGAATACAAATGTAAAAAAAAAAAAAAAAAAAAAAGTTTGACCTTGAAACTCGTGGAATTCATCCGTGAAACATTTCTTCCCATCCTGTATATATACGTTGTTCTGGAAAAACAATGTTCAACTCGTCGTTGGAACAGAACGTGGTGAACCGCCGAGTTTTCACGAGAAGCGGGCGAGGAGCGAGTCCGTGTTTCCTGAAAAAAAGTATGTCGCTGAATTTCACGCGTCGATGACGTGGCTTTCTCTCTATATCTGCGGTCGCGCTATCGTTATTTACACGCGTGCCTTTTTCCTTCATCTTTTACCTCCGCCAATCTTTTCCGATTATTTTCGCGAAACGTTCTGCGCTGATTTGAACGAGGGGTTTGCGCTCTTTGAACTTTCTCGAAAGTGTCGGAAAAGGTATCGCGAGGCACCTCGTTCTCGCTGTCGCAGGATTAACTGCAAGCGCAGATACCTGCAAACGACGCCAGTTCTCCAAACCAAACTGGAAACGCTTATGCAAACTCGCCACTTTTACGACCACCGTAAGAAGATATAGAATTTAAATACAAGAGTTGTCTCTTCGTCTCCCTTGGACGTTCAACGCGGCTCTGTATATTTTTGCATACCTACTGCGGCTGTATATTCTGTCTATGTTTGCATAATTTCCTCCTAAGTTCATCGGCGAAATCTACGAAACGCAACGACACGATTGATAGTATAAATATAGCAATATAAATTTAAAACGTTGATTCGTTTAAATTGTATATATAATCACAAAATTAATATATATATTAACTATACAATATTAATTAATATTATATATTAACTATATATATATTAATATATTAATATATTAATTAATAATTAATATGTTAATATATAATATATCAATATATATAGTTAATTATTAATATATATAATATATATTGTATATATTAATATCATATATTAACTACGTAATTAATAGTATATATTAACTATATATATTAATGTATATTAACTATATAATATTAATTAATATTATATTAATATATATATATATATTAATATAATACTAATGTATATATATTATATTAGAATATATATATACAATTAATATTATATTAATATATATATAATAACAAGAAAATATATGAAATGAATGTATGAAATATATATATAATTTAAGCGAATCAGTGTTTTAAAAGACTAAAAGAAAATACACGGAATGAATGTCTGAAAAAAATATACGATTATCACTTGAAGAAAAGAAAAGAAATTTGACGTTCAAACATCTTCTATTCATATATATTTCAATTTTAATTAATAGCATTTATAGCAATTTAAGTCGAATCAGTGTTCTATACTTGTGTGTGAGACGTTGCTGAAATTCCAAACCGACATATCAAGCGCTTTCTCAGTTGTGACAATTTCTCTAAAGTGCAGTTACAAATCCAAATGCACGAATCATCCCTTGCTCAAACGTAATTATACAAATTTTGACTAATAATTTGCGCTTGCCATCCCGTAGATGACAGATGGGTTAAAAGCGCCCATTCGAACATTTTGTATTAAAATAATATTAAAACTTAGAATAATTATATTTATTATTTCTGAATTATTTCTTTCTTTCTTATTTCATTTTCGTGAACATTTTCTCATAGCTCAATTTCTCCATCAATTGAAATTAATATAACATGACCTCCTAAAATAATTAAATAATATTTAATTATAGAGAAATTCCTTTATTAAATACATTTACTTTAATTACTTCAAGATTTTATATTACATTAAGTCATTTATGTTTTTTATTTAGCCCACTCAACTGTTCAGAAAAAGAAAAACTTTTCCACTCTCTTAGGCGACTCAGCTTCATTGTGAACTCCAAGCGAAAACACGAAACGCTGCTTTCATCGTCTTTTCGGAATTGCTCGAGCTACAAACAAAAAA